AAGATAAATGAATAAATCAATTAAATGAAATTGATCGATTAATTACTACTTTTATCATATGACCCGTATTTCGGCCCTACGCGCGCTCTTAAAAAACCTACGGGAAATGGTCACTTGGTGGGGGCCGTACGCCTTTTCGCGACAGGTCCGTACAAACCCGTATTTTCCCGGCTTGAAGTTCCGCGCGCTTTTATTTATTTTTTTACATTAAAAAACGCTGTCATATGATAAAGTGCTTATTGACTGAGTAAGTCGGGCCGTACGGGAAAATATTTGGCTCTCGGTCATTTGTACGGCATAACCTCGAGCCAAATGTTTTCCGGTACGGCCCTCCCACTCAGTCAATAAGTACATAATCATATATGACTTATATTTCGGCCCTACGCGCGCTCTTAAAAAACCTACGGGAAATGGTCACTTGGTGGGGGCCGTACGCCTTTTCGCGACAGGGCCGTACAAACCCGTATCTTCCCGGCTTGAAGTTCCGCGCGCTTTTTTTACATTAAAAAACGCTGTCATATGATAAAATGCTTATTGACTGAGTTAAGTCGAGCAGTACGGGAAAATATTTGGCTCTCGGTCATTTGTACGGCATAACCTCGAGCCAAATATTTCCCGTACGACCCTCCCACTCAGTCAATAAGTACGTATTAATTGATATCTACCTGTTGGGGGCAGAGGGGGAAAGGTTGGAACAACACCTCCTCCACCATTACATATTCCATTGTACATTAAGTTCATTTGTTGAGCGTCGATTGCACTTAAACCACGCCTTTGTCCTAAAGAAACCTAAAAATGCAAGCACGTTACTGAGTTGAATTTAACATGTCATTATTAATTGAACGTTATACATCTCATTTAATTTTTTTATTGTCACATTTGTCATATTACGCTAATGTTATGTAGCCTTTAATATGTTCATGCCTACATGCAATTATTTCTGTTGATAGAATTGGTGCTTCATTCTCGAAGACATACCATATTACTGTTTGAATTGACTGAAAGATTAACTTTTTTGACAAAAACGTGAACCTTTTGGACCAGCAAAGCAAAACATCAACATCAACAATTCAACATCAACATCAACATCAACATCAACATTACAGTTAAACAGCAACAATAAAAGAACTCATTATAAGAAAGTTACTGAATGCTTACCCCAGATTTCTTAGCAGTGATCGTTGGTCTGCCGTTCTTGCTAAAGGAACGAGAACTGTAGTGCATAATGGAGCCATAGTCGTATGGAGTATTAAGCGAGTCTATAGTGTTGGTACTGTACTTGTTGAAGTTGAATTTACTCGCTTAAATATAAAAAAAAATAACTGATATCGATTTCCCAGATAAAAAAGAACAAGCGATTATCCGCCTGTACATGTATAATTACTAGTATTATTAATAGTTGCTACATACAGATGGCATTAAARTGAAATAATATGAATGACAAAAGGTTAAAACAATAAAACATCGTTGAAAAGATGAACTAAAAAAAAATTATTTAGCTTTAGAATTCAAAAGTGCAAACAAAGAAAATAAAAAAAAACATTGAAAATATGAGCGAATAACTGAAAAAGAACGGAAGGAATTCATCCAAAGCGTKCAATCAAAGAAAATACCTGTTGTAATGATGTACTAATAAAGAAAAAAGGAAACTCAAAAACTACAAACAAATGGAAAAAAAGAACACGAAACACGTAGATCAGAAATCAACGGTAGAAGAGTGACGGTGACTGATATAAAATAGTAAATTAGGGTGCATGCACTGAGCTATGACTTACCGGATCGTATGTTCCCCCAGTGGATAGTAACGTAGTTATCACGATCTGGTCGAGATTGCTCATGGTACAAACCGAGAGCGTGACCTGTTAACATCAAACTACAATCAGAATGATGTGCATAATCGAAAGCTAAGAAGTACACTCAACGTATTTGCGAGAAMTGATGCAAAACGTGACCAAATGAGGCGTTTGGTAAACAGCCAGTTTTTAGTTCACTGCTATTTTATCAGGTACTTGAATTATAGATTTTTTTTTACTATTGAAGCATAAAGAAAAATGTCATTTATAACAGTTTTRTAAGGCACTATATTGCATGGGTTGCGTGCTGATACTAGTATCCCAATCGTAAATCTGTTTTCCTAAGAAATAACACTATTTCGTAATGAATGATACTCTCGTAGTGATGCGACACTTGAACGATTTGTATGCAATATACAATAATAATGTGAAATATCACTAACCAATTTCATGAGCTACTATTCCCTTATACCAACAGCCAGAAKCAAGTGTAATTGGCTGACTTCCACCAGTTCTACCTACATAKGACGAGCACCTGTCAAAAATATGCAAAACATACAAGACTAGTATTTGACGTTCGTTGATTGTTAGTTTAATCATGACAGGCTTACCCGGATCCAGATCTAAAGTATGCATACGCTCTTTCATTTCCAGATCGAAGCCTGAATCGAATGCACGTCTTTGAGGTCCATTCTTCCATTCCAGCTCGGATGGCATTCATAGCACGGCTGTTTCGAGCTGAAAGATATTGGAATCCACATCAGTTGAAATCCACCACTCAATATAAGAATATATACTACTTCATTATATCTACCTAGGCCTATAAAGTAGAATCTCATGCATTTTAACCCTTAATTGAGATAAAATAAATAACCACACTCTGCCATATTATTGTTGAACGATCATCCACGAAAAAAAAGCTGAAAATTAGGTTTCTTGAAAATCATTTTGTTTTTCTGGAATTAACTTGTCTTTATGCCTTATGGTTCGTACTCTTGAACTCTTTTGAAGTCCTCAAATTGTATGATTTCCATGACATTTTCAATGACCAAATATAGAAATCATACTTTACAAAATGCTAAAAATACTGTATGTCGCCTTGAAAAGGTTGCACTTTGGAAACATTCGATTGATCAGCACTATCTAGTTAATTTTAATGATAAATAAAATTATTTAAAAATATTTTGCATTTGTTGTAACCTCATTCATGCAAAAAGTACTTATAATTATACGATTACAAGTAATCTTCGATGACTTTCATGAGCCTAGAAATATTCCATACTTTGCAGGTTTTCCAGGACCCGTACTATTAACCCTGCACGATTTCAGAAGTGCGTGCCACATAAAAATTATTAGAATAACTTTAAAGACATGAAAGATTTAGATAATGCACCGAAAGCTGACAGGGAAGTTCCTTTATWGAATGATTAATGGCTTTTCTATATTTTGTACATCAAATTGTGATCCGTCGTTGACTTACCTAAGTCCCTATTGATGGAGTATACGAGAACTCCACCAGGCCATCTTTTACTTTTGATGGATCCACGGCCAATGGGTGCGTCTACGTTACCACCGTTCATTGCTGCAGCTCTTTGTTCAGGGGTTAGAATCATGTCCCCTTCGAAAACATTTGGATCAGTGCTTTCCTCTGAAAAATAACCAAGAAGTCTAGGATTACAATAGATGCGAAAGAAGATTCACTAGAATCACTATCAARGAGCAAAAGATTAATTAATGCGCAATATTATCATAAAACTACCCCAAAATTAAAGTCGGTGATTGAACCTGTTTTTATCAGTTTACTTGTGGTCTCAAGCAAAAGCCTACAGCTAAATCCAGGCGGCATCGGTGGCTAGAGTGGCTGCAAATGACAGCTGGGTCTCATTCACTCTTAACTTCACTTTCTAATACGTAATAAAATTGTCTTTTTCAACGTTGAAATCCTGATGAGTTGGACACCATAAAGAGTATGCGTCTCCGGTTCTAAAAGGCTTCCTTTTCATGGAAATAGGTCATAGAAATTACCTTCAGGCCCATAGGCATAGGTGGTTCCAAGCAGAGAGAGTGCTATGATAAAGCAAATCTTCATCTTAAAGCTTATAAGTTCAGTAAACCAATGAAGCMTTAGGCGCACAGCGCGCTATTTATRCATTGACAGTATATAGCACATTGTTATCTGAACAAACATTTGTTTTTTTTTCCTTTTCAAATAACATTTGAACTCTTCTATACAGTTAGCACTTGCCTTACAGAATAATAAATGTCAGCTTTTGTTGACGCCACAATTTTTGGGACAGAAAATAAACGACCAAGAAGAAAACTAGTCGTCGACGCGTCTTCACAGCTGTTTTTGTGTCGAGGTCGTTGTGCTCCGCTCCCCAGAAACTTCCACTAAATATTTTTAAAATGTCATTGTAGCAGACGTAATTTTGGTATTAAAAAGCTATTTTCTTTAACAGAATTATCAGATATCATGATTTRACATAAGGATAGGCCTGTCGACAACAGTTGCAATATTTCAAAGCGACAACTTATATTTATTTAAACAGGATGTTCACCCTGTTTGTAACACTATCAACAGAAGTACAGCTTAACAAATAACACATCACACTGCATTTGTTTTTGTAGAGTTTTTATTCATTCAGGTTAAATCTGCTTGCATTTCATTTCAATCTCTAAAATAACATTTCATGTTCAGTATTTCTCGATATCTCATTATATGCTATTGATGAAAAAGCCGACATGCGTTGTGTTGTATTTCGTCAGTTTTATTTATTAGTTTTCAATTCACTAGGTTTTTATTCATAGGGTTGTATATATGATAGAGTCCGATTGAAAATTAATGCCGGGGAGGGATTTGATATTCAGCAGGGAAATGTGGGGTTGATGAATTGAATTGAATAGCTCGTTATAAATTCAGCGGGCTAAATATGAGTGATCCCGGTCAATCATTTGTATTCCAAATAAAATGTATAGATAAACGAAGAAATAAAAAATAAAATAAAAAATAAAGCAGTGTTCACCTGAAAGAAATTTCATTTTCCGCAGTCCTAAATCTAACCATTTCATATTTTTCTTGAGTGAGCAGGTGCGACTGACCTTTCTTGTACTTACCCTGGGCACCAAAGGCAGGATTTACTCTTTTATATAGTTTATTTACGGCCTMAAGTATGATGTATTGATCGGCCTCAAGGATGGCGCTTGCAACATAAGTAAACAACAAGAAAGTAGAAGGAGCCGACGGGTTCCTGGGAGAAATATATGATCTGTTCTTATGTCCCAGCCAGCTGTAAGTCACAACTGGTTGCCAGAGAGAAATTCAGGTGAAACTAACGAACTCTGAATGTAAGAAAACCTTTCTAATAATTTTTGCCAGGAAAATAAAACTTTCCTAACTTTCATTTCCTTGACCATTAAAAAGTTATATAAGCCTTTTTTGACCTTAAAAACGTTTGCCAGGAACAAAATTATTTTAAAGGAAGTGTGCTACATTTGCTTGTGAGATTGTCAACAATGTAGTTTAAAATCCTAAGAAAAAAAATTGTACAAGAACAGTTATTCAGAAGAACAGAACCCGTCGGCTCCTCCTGAGAAAGAGTAAATCCAGCCTCTTTTTTTCAGGGTATCTGGTATTACTCGGCTTTGCAATACAAACCCATACCCTTTCAACAATCCTTTAATAAAATATTCTTCCCTTTTTCTTTACTTTAGATGTTTTCTTAGAAAGTCTCATTTTGCACATAAATGGAAGTCTTTCATGACATGGCCATTTTCTCCAATGAGAGGTATAGACGTCGACAAGTGTGCATTCTTTTCCTGGTTGTTTAATGTGGGGCTTTAATCTTCTCCAGTTTGTGTATGTGACATTATTCCTAAAAAAAGCATATGACAGGTATGATATGATATTTAAAGTATCATATTTAATGTGAAACGTTCGAGAATCTTTCATTAAAGTGCCTATGACGCCTGACAAAATAATTTCTGATTCTCTGTGAGCTGATTTTATATAAAGTAAATAATTGAATGGTGAAATATTCGTGCATTTCAGTGTTGCGACTTTGAGTTTTGAAGGTTTAATCTTCCAATATGCTAATGATAATGACGTCAAGGGAGGCTTCATTAAATATACGAACTTTGAAACAGTCGCTCAAAAATGTTTTCATGAACGGCATCTGGGAATATGGTAATTCCCTACATTGCCTACGATAAATTTAATACCATGAAACCATTTTTAAGCGACTCCTTCAAAGTTCGTATATCTAATGAAGCCTTCTTTGACGTCATTTTTATTATCATATTGTAAGATTGAACCTTCATAACTTAGAGTGGTAACACTGAAATGCAGGAATATTTCACCATTCAATTATTTATTTTATTTCATAGAGAATCAGAATTTTTTTGTCAGGCATCATAAGCACTTTAACTAGAAATGATTTGTGGTATGCGGACGGAGCTCTTTGGCTTTGTAAAGTGATTTAGTACGTTAGTAGCCGTAATATGTAGAGGGAGCTCTTTGGCTTTGTAAAGTGATTTAGTACGTTAGTAGCCGTATGTAGAGGGAGCTCTTTGGCTTTGTAAAGTGATTTAGT